ATCTTCATGCATGTATTTCATAATTGATTCTATTTCATTTTCTTTTAAAACTCTAAGAGGGTGTGTAGCATTCTTTCCTCGGAGTATCTTCCCATCCTTCTCTTTTTACGCTGAGCAATCAATTTTTTTCTCGTATAATGGACACACAACTGTATAAAATTATCTTATCATTACCAAATAGTGATATTTTGAAATACAGATGATAAATTCGTGCATATACTTACTGCCCATTTTATTAGAGCTTCATACATAAAAACGAAATTAGACATATCTACCCAATCTTTTGGGAGACTAAAACGGTCCACTTCGAACAAACGATATGTTCCTGATGATCGCATAAAATTGAATTAGTTAGGCTATATATGACATCACTATGAAATTTTACAGATTACATACCACGAAAATCAAGCATTGTAAGGGAGAGTTCGGTTTTACAAGCAGTTGCACCATATACTCGAAGGCCTGTGTATACTTGTCTTCGTTCTGAAGTCTCTGTTACAATTATATAGTTAAACAGTTGTATCATGCTTTTGATGTTCTTCTTATCGTCGTTAACATTTTTGTCATTCCTCGCCCCTGGTCTTGCCCCTTCCATGCAAACGATTTGGTAGTTTGAGACATCATTAAGGTATCCAACACCATCTGCTATGACTTTTGCTTTTCCTTGCAAAGAAATCTCACCAATAATGAAATTATGTAATTAATTCTAAGAAAATCAAAAAGAGAGAAATAAAGACAGTTTCAACTTACGATATATAATTAACACTTGCAAAAAAATCCACAATGCATTATCAATTAACGGATGTATAAATTGGTTGAGGTCTTTCTAACATCGTAACATCTCTCAATGGGTTTAGTGCATCTAAAGAGAAGGCCTTTATACTATACGTAATAGTGTATTAGTAATTTTGTAAAATGGGATACTCTAAAACTTCTTACTTACAATCGTCCCAATGTTCCCTTAAGCAGTTCTTTTGTATCTTGCAGTAATTCCGAGTCTTTTTCATTAATGACTATTCTCCGAACTGATTCGTGCCATCCTTGTTTACCATGATCAGCATTAAAGAAGTCAGTGAGAAAATTATGTATTTCATCTGTTATATAATCCTTGTCTATTTCGTCGAAAACTTCATGTAGAATTTTATCTTGCAATTCTTGATCTAAGGAAAGGGATAGTTCTGAATGTAGCCGGAGGTCCATGGCAGGATAATTATTGAATTTTGAACGATATATTTCTAGAATATCTAGTTCAGCCTGAGTTGCTGATATATCGCAATCAAGAATATCATAAACGATTATCTATAATAAGACAAAACGAATTAATATTTTTCTTATCATATCCGTATGCATTGCAAATAAAAGATGCGGACCTTGTTTTCATCTAAATATTCTACCTCATTTATATTACCGCTGTCAGCACCTTCGTCGCTTTTAATACCTTCCTCATTATTGGTGCTATCATTATTACTGTTACTGTCTTCCTCGTTATTGACGCTATCATTATTGTTACTACCTTCCTCATCATCGGCATTTTCACTATTCTGCTGAACAGTAATTAAAATTTTAAATATGCATCCACAATTGATAAAAGACTAATTCAGAGTATTAATAATGTTACCTTTTGTCTTCCTCCATTCCTAACAAGGGTGTTTAATTCTTGGTGTACTTCCATATTTGTTTCATGAATTTCATCACGAATTGACCTCTATCGGATAAAGTTATCATAATTAGTTGCGAGCTTAGTTGAAAGTTTGTGATCGAACGCACCGATTTTTTTTCTATAAGCCACAATTCCCAATCTGAATTACACTATTAATGAAGAAAGTATACGTTAGAGATACAATATGCTATAAGCAAAACAATTTTGATTATATACATTAATAGTTTCTTTGAGATTTCTTAGTTTCGACTGTTTGTCCGAGTCCTCACAGAAATCAATAGCCTCATCAAGGCATTTTCCGTACTTTTCAATTGCACGGGATTTATGTGTTGGCGTGATAAAACGAAAGAATTCTAGAGGAGTCGGATTGTTATACGAGATCATCCAATTAATGTTGCATTGCCTTTTTAATTTTGAGGACGATATTTTCATATTTGACATCTCTTCACATAGGTATTAACAAAAAGAAAAAAGAAAAAAATTTAGTAATATTGCTTGACCAAAATCAATTAATAAAACGGTGTGCTGTTGATTACACAACGGCCGGCCACCTCCTGGACGATGACTTGCCAAATACTGGCTTCCGATAGACCTCACTCTACCGCAGGCGCCCTGCATACTCAACAGACACCCAACAACTTTGTAGCCCAAAATCAGCCGGCCACCTCCTGGACGATGACTTGCCAAATATTGGCTTCCGATAGATCTCACTCTACCGCAGGCGCGTCATTCGTTCTTAACAAAGCTGTCGTAAATTATGGGAAAGAAACGAAAAAGGTATAAAACCATCCTCGCTCGAAGAGGTTTGAAGAAGGCGCACAACGGTTAACTGTTCTCCAGTAGTAGTGATGTTGCGGATATTTGTATTTATGTCCAAGTAGATGTGATATGTTAACACGCGAAACTCAATTATCGGAAATAAGATCACATGCCTGAAAAATCGATTGCGTAATACAGATTAAGATGTTCGATCAGTGCATTACTTCGTAATACATATCACATACTATACCACAGAATAAAATCGAATGTCATGGAACTTTTCATCCATGATGCAATCGTACGACCTGTTACTGTGACCAAATTTCTGAAATAAAATCACATGCTTGAAAATCGATTGCATAATATAAATACTGATGTTAGATCAGCATATACCACAGAATAAATTAGAAGGTTGTGGAACTTTTCATGCATGATGTAATCGTGTAACCTGTTGATTGTTACTACAAATTCCAAATATATTGACTAACTCATGTCATATGATATAGGCTAACTTTCTTCTGATTGGTCAATTTTAGTCAATTGAATTTATATAGTTTAGAGTACTTTTCAAATTTGAAAGATTTTAATAGTACAAGATTATCAAAAATTGATCTAAAGTCGTTTAGAATACTTATAGAAAACTTCTTGCAAAAGAATCTTGAAGAATCCCTTTATTCAAGCACACTTTACATAAGACTGAATTCGACATGGAAGAATGACAATGCGCAATAAAGATATGTACTAAAGCACCTGGGAAACGTATGAAAGGTGTAACTAACTGGATTTGGGAGAGTGCTCGAAATAACAATACATTACCAGTTTACCTAAAAGTTAAAGATACGGTGTGCCAATTATGCTATAACGGAATGATCGTTCAGCCTTCAGCTGCGATGAAAGAACATATGAAGGCAACGTTTGATAATACTTTATTGGAACTGAAGATAACGTTTGATGCTCAACCTAAGACTGATGTTGTATTGAAACCAGAAGTAATGTCTTTTCCAGAAGCAATAAAAGTTATGACAAAAATTTTATATTATAAACGTGAAGTAATACAAAAATTGCCAGCATTCCAAGATTTTGGGGAATTTAGCTCTTGCTTGGAAGCGGAAAATGGACAACTAATGACTTTTTTCGATGAACTCATATTGTCAACAAATTTATCACAAAAAAAGCCAGAATCACATCCCAAAATAATATCTCAACTACTTTTTGTTTGCTACTTGCTTTGTGATTTATGTAACAAATTTGTTATTAACATAAAACGCTATCTAGCACTTTATCTTGATTTCACAGGTACGAGTGATTCAATGATTAATGCTTTATCAGAACTCGGTATCACATCAACGACACAAACCATCTGGTGCAAGAAAAATGAAATATCAAAAAATCATACACATATGATAAATGAAAAGTTAGGGGATTATTACGAAAACGTTATAATTTTAAACGTGGATGATTTTTACAATGTACATATGAATCGTGTTCCAAAAGATAATGAAACGTTGACGGCAACTCACATGACAACGATTCTATTAAATCCAGTAAATAAAACATCACCAATTTCTATGAATTGCAACAGCAAAAGTGTTCACAATCCAAAGCTTGTAGACGCGAATTCTCTAAAAGTAGACTTGGAAACTCGATTTATGACATTATTAGGAATATCTTTTAATGAACGATGGAAAAATAAGGTAAGTGAAAATGAAGAAGAAACTATGGAAGCGTTAATGATTCATAGTTATGATCTTTGGCTCAAGGAGAGAATGAATGATCGATCATTGAGTGATATTGTGCTCATCAATCTTGTAGCAAATAATTTACATTCTATTAATGAGTATTTGAAGAGTTTTGCTATCATTAAAAGAGTAAATACGATGCAAAGATATTTCGATTCAGATTATACCATACCTCTCGTTGCTGATTGGTCTGGTCAAATATTTGTAAGAAGCGCGATCTCACGATTTCTAACATATGGTGATAAATCTAACATTCCTCAGGACACATTATCATTCATTCTGATCATCAGACCATTGCATATATCTTTAAACAGCCACAAACTCATCTATAAGCAGTATCATCCATTTTTTTCTTCGTTACATAATTATTTATTCAACAAAACGAAAGGGCTTGGAATCAATATTCAACTCTAGTGAATTAATTTGCTTCTCAAGATGGCTCATCATGGGTGACTTCAGATTTCAGACATTATTGAAATAAAATTTGGCCTTTGCAAAGATCTTAAATACTTAACGTTAAAAGATTTAGTGAATAATATAATTTCACTTGTTCTCGATATATACGCGATTTTTTTTCATGCAGGTGAGTGGCAAGAATACAAAGAATCAATGATATGAATTTGGGTAATTTTTTTTTACGGTTTGCTTGTCATAATTACAATAAGGCACCACTAATGTTCTTGTCAGATGTTTTATATTGGAAAAGTATTAACCATCCAATTTTAGAAATTTTAAAAGTGCATTTGCCAAAATTTTCCGATGTCCCTGTCGAATTATTTTATAGCATTCTGAGACGAACCACCCAGAAGCATGATATTACAGAACACTTACAACGTTAAGCATATTTTGTTAATTTTTTAAAACATAAGAAATGTCTCAATGAATTATTTGAACATCAATCAACCTGGAAAAGATATCCTTTGAACTATAGAGATTTGAATAGCTGCACACAAAAAGCTACGTGTTTTTTATTGGAGCATTTTATTAATATCTACAATCGAATTGCTACAGACAGCACAATGGGTCTAAATTTAAGTAAACCGGAAAGGAAAAAAAAAAGAAAAATCATAAATGATTCTAATATATTGATGCCGGCCATCGGAATTGTTGCAGATACTCATCATCTTCCTTTGGGCTTTAGTACTTCTCAAAAATCTAACCAGTTTATCTTGTGTGATTATTCGCTCTGTACTAAAACTAATATACACGTATATACTAACTTATTATCTTCCAATTTAAAGATACTAGCCTGCGGTCACAAATATCACGTAGAATGTTTAAATGAAGTTAATCAGAAATGTCCACCATGTCTGGAATTCTTGAAGAATGGAATATATATGAATATGGATCAGTTACTAGAACACCTGAAAGATATGAAAGATAAAGATAAAAAAAAATACAAAAATCACAAAAAATGTACAGATTCAGGAAAGTGATAGAACTGAAAAACTTAAAAATAAAATAGATGAAGATGACGAACTTATCATTATTAGTGGTATCGAAAATACGGAATTTGATAGTTTGTTACAAAAGCTTAATAAAATGTAACCAATCATACAGATTTATTTAATTTCATGTGATTAATGTGATTGATCAATTATGAGAAAGTTATCCTATATTGTCATACATATTTTCTTTGTGAAAAATTTTTCGCTGTGCATATTTACATAGTAAATACCTATGAACTTGCATTGCTCCAGTTCCATATTCCCTGAATCTACCATTTTCATACCTGAATAGAGTCAGAAATGAGCGGAGGGAGCGTTTTACAAGGACAGTATATTTACATTATGGTTGTTCGTCACTTTATTTCTTACACATCGTAATAATAGCTTTATTGTATTTTTTCGGACCTTGCAACATGAGCAAATTATATGCGAAAATTTATAATTTCATAGTAATAGCCGAAGAAGAAAATATAGACACTTCCACTGTCATTTACCAAGCATTGAATGAAGAACCATGAATTTCAAAGGAAGAAGTAAGGGCGTTGGTTCACCGAGCAATTTCATCAGCGTTGAATTTATACGCTCAAGATTCCACTCGACAACAAAAACTTTTGCAAATACCTCTACAAATAGATTTTATAATATGATCTAATAATTGTTTGCCTCATTAACTGAATGATGAGTGTCGCAGAATTGGTTCGATCTGAATATCAAACATATCAATTTAGGCATTTCTATTTAGTCCGTGTACAGGATTCAATCCTGGGAACATGAGGAGGGTGATTATACTGTATTACTATATTCTGTTTATATATAGTGATAGCGGACCATACACAAGTAAGGTTGCTTGCTGAAATCCCTTAGTGACTGTTGTTACAGCAATTCTGGATAGTGGGTTTCACTGAGAATCACTATAAGCATATAATGTTGGGAGAGGGGCGATTAAACTTAAGTAAAGAGAATGAATTATAAATATTAGCA